ACATAGGAATTCAGTGAGGCATGACAAGGGCACGGGCGTTTACTAGAGTACTCAATACGCAAATGAATAGATACGAAAATGCGAACATGTAAAATTAAACGAAGGAAAAACATGTACCATTATAAAATATTGTTTCAGTTTTTGTAAGTGTTTTGAAAAATATTTTAAAATTCGCGCCCTTGAGTGACACGTGCACTAGTTTACCCGTCACAGCTCGCCTTTTTTAACTAATTTAGGTCCCATCCACGCGTATCCGCAAATTTTTGTATCCGCAATTTTTTTTTTGTGGATACGGGTTGCGTCCACACGTGTCCGGAAATTTTTGTATCCGTATCTGGAAATTTTCGAAAACGGTCTCCAGAGTGGAAATTTTCGAATGCGCTCCGAATACGGATACGTGTGGACGGTAGCATCCGCAAATTTTCGAATACGCTGACGTAAACACGATTTTGCGCATGCTCAATAAGAAAAACTATCCGTCAAAGGGACTAGGAACTAGCGTGCATCAGGTCGGATCAAGAAATTTCGAGATACGTGTGGACAGTGAAAACGATTCGAAAACGATTTGAATACGCTGCGTGTGGACGCGAACATTTGCCCGTAAATTTTTGTGCGGTCCGTATCCGCAAATTTTACGAAAACGGACACCTGTGGACGGTGAAAACGATTCGAATACGCTGCGTGTGGACGCAAACATTTTCGTATCCGTAAAAAAAAATTTGCGGATACAAAAATTTCCGGATACGTGTGGACGGTGCCTTAGAAATTAGTTAGCTAGCTATCTATTTCACGGGTATATTATTTGCACTCTATTTCTAACTCGTTACCATGCACGCGCGATGATCACGCTTCTGTTTGATGCCTCGTTTTAGGACACGAAAAGCGCCAAATTTCTCTACGTCCACAACAAAAACACAGGCTTTGTTTACTGCAAGACTGGAAGCCGTCTTCCCTCAAGAAATCAACCAATCAGGTTCTTCGCTCAAAATATCTCCAAGCTGAAAATAGCATCAAACTGTGCACATGATATTTACAAGGCTATATAGATAGGATTCCTTTTATAAGTTCATATTCTCTTGTAGTAATTAAGTATTCCTTCATGAAATTACGAGCACAGGAAGCCCAAGCAAGGTACTCCTGTTACTTATACTGAAGGAATGCAAGTGGATCTATGTGGATTTGTATACACTACCTGAAGATGATCATTATGTTTCCCTTTAGCTTACTGTTTTCTTTTCTTCTTAATAGGTGATATGCTGCTTCGTGAACTTTCCGAAATGCCCGATATTATGCTTGATATAGAACACATCCTAAACAATCCGCAAGACACGTTCTTGTGGCAGCTTGCAGAGCGTTTAAAAAGGCGGCATGACATCGATTTTGATGCAAATATGTTTCGACACCAGGGAAGCTATGCAAACCCAACCGATCGTTTGATGGAGCATGTCCTTGCACGTCATCCTGAGGAACAGACAATTAAAGATCTGGTGATTAAGTTGATTAACATCGACCGTCAGGACTGCCTGGGCATTATTGGAGAATGTCTAGAGGGTAGGTGCAATTATTACTCAAAAACCCTTGCCTCTGAGCCTTCACTCTACGAGGAAAGCGAATTAGATTCACCTCATTTGACATCATATTTGCATGTAACCGCCATGTTGGTTGAATGCTTTTGTTATTTTATCCAACATGGTGGTGATGAAGTTTGTTAGTTGGGAAGCTTACGTTGCGAGCAATTGATGTAATGTATGATGAAAATACAATGAATCGCACCTAATAAAATAGATAGAACG